AGAGAGAGAGAGAGAGAGAGAGAGAGAGAGAGAGAGAGAGAGAGAGAAAGAGCGAGCCGGGCAATGGTGGCGCACGCCTTTAATCCCAGCACTTGGGAGGCAGAGGCAGGCGGATTTCTGAGTTTTAGGCCAGCCTGGTCTACAGAGTGAGTTCCAGGACAGCCAGGGCTACACAGAGAAACCCTGTCTCAAAAAAAAAAAAAAGGAAGAAAGAAAAAAAAGAAAGAAAGGAAGGAAGGAAGAAAGGAAGAAAAAAGGAAGGAAAGATCAATTTTATGATCACTCATGTAAATACATAGTCTCTGGTATGCAGACAATATTCAATACATATTAACTATTATAGCCCAATAAATGACAACCAGTATTTATAAAATGATAACTTAAAAAATAGTCAGTATGGCTGGAGAGATGAGTCAGTGGCTAAGAGCACTGACTGTTCTTCCAGAGGTCCTGAGTTCAATTCCCAGCAACCACATGGTGGCTCACAACCATCTGTAATGGGATCCAATGCCCTCTTCTGGTGTGTTTGAAACAGTTACAGTGTACTCATATAAATAAATATTCATATAAATAAATAAATCTTTAAAAAAATCAGTATCCTTTGCTCCTGGTCACCATCCTTTCCAGTCTTGTTTTTTTGAACCCCAGAACAGCCTTCATGGCTTACCATCCTGTGTGGGAAGAGTGTGCATGTTCCTGGGGGCTCAGCTGTAGAGTGACTACCTGACCTAGATGAGGCCCTGAGTTCACTCCTGTCTTAGTTAGGGTTCCTGTTGCTGTGATAAAACACTGATCAGAAGTAACCTGGTAAGGAAAGGGTGTATTTCATCTTATACTTCCCAGTAACTGTCCATCACAGAAGGAAGTTAGGGCAGGAACCTGGAGGCAGGAACTGAAGCAGAAGCCATGGAGGAACGCTGCTTACTGGCTTGATTATCATAGCCTGCTCAGTCTGCTTTTTCATACAACCCAGGTCAACTTATCCAGGGGAGGTGTGGTCCCTAATAAGCTGGGCCCTCTCACGTCAATCATTAATTAAGAAATGCCCACAGACACCCCTACAGGCCAATCTGATGGAGGCATTTTCTCAAGTTAGGCCCTCTTCTCAGATTACTCTAGCTTGTGTCAAGTTAACAAACAAACAAAAAACAGCCTTGACCCCAGCACCATAACCCACCCACTGCAACACATAGACACACACACAGACTCACACAAACACACACACACACACACACACGCACACTTACACACAGACACACACCCTCACATACAGACACACACTCACATTCGTTCATACACACACACTCACACACACATACACACACTTTCACACACTCACAGACACATTCACACACAGGCACACACATTCACATACACACACACACATACAGACACTCACATACACCAACTTACACACAGACTCACACTCATGCACAGAGATGACACACACACACAAACATACACTGATATACACACTCCCCCCTCCCCACAGACACACAAACCTTACCTTTACCTGAAGAGACTGCTTTTTTCCTTTTAACCTTGGCCTTCTTTCTGACTATTTGAGTGCATGATAAAAGCACACTCCTATCACCTGGATATGGAACTTTCTGAAGCTTTTCCTTGTGTGTGTGTAGATGTGTTCACATGTGTGTGTGCACATGTGAGGGAGTATATGTTGTATGTGAGGCCATATATGTGTTGTATGCATGTGCATGCATGTGCACAGGTGTGTATGGAGGGCAGAATAAATAAACTACTTTGTGTGTGTGTGGTGTGTGTGTTCAACTTGTGTGTAGGAGCCTTCAGAAACCAGAAGGCATCAGCTCCTCTGGAACTGGAGGTACAGGTGGTGGTAAATGGCCATGAGGGTGCTGGGGACAGACCCTGGGTCCTCTACAAGAGAAGCAGGCACTCTCAACCACCGAGCCTGGCTCCTGAGACTCTGTTCAGACATTTACAGATTCGTACCTGTTACTTTTCTACTGATATGCTTAATTCAATCTCACCAAATGAATACAAAATGACAAAAATCGTGTTTCAACTTTCCTCCAGAAGTGTGAACTTCAGTGTTTTTGTACAAGGTGATGGCTTCCCACACCCCTCGCAGTGCCTTTAGCTTCCTGACTTCACTAGGTTTGATCTCTTTTATTAGATGGTGACTTTCTACAGCTCATCCCTCTTGACAAGTTCTATGCCTGCTGGAGAACCACTGGACATTAGAGGTGCAAAGAAGCCTGGTCTTGTCACCAAAAACGGCCTTGTTCTTTTTGGGAATGATGGAAAAGCAGTAAGTGCACAAAACCAAGTTTTGGTCTTCCTTCTATTAACTTAGTTATTAGGGAATGGCTTCCTCTGGGGCTCACTGCGGGGAGGGGGTGGAATGCTCATGATGCTTGTGTCCCCATCTCTGGAGACGAGAGACATTCACGCCCCAAGACAAAATTTCTCAGGAGAGCCCCATGGACCTTCACAGTGAGATCCCAGGGAGACCTACGGTTACAAAAGGGAAATATGGACCTCTGCTTGTCTACCTGCCAGCTTGGGAAGGATGGTTCTTCCCGTTGTGCCTCAGTTTCTCTGTCTATAAAGCATGGAGAGAGATTCCTATCTGTCTCCCACTGTCAGTAATTAGGAAGATCCAGTGAGACCCATGTGGCCTCCTCTCCCATTGTCTACTGCTGTCACCTCCTTAGGCCAGCACCACCGTGAGTAGCTCTGGGCCTCCGACAGCTTCCCAGTGAAGAGTGTAAAGGGCCATTTGTAGTTTACAGATGTGCCCCTGTCTTAATTTGGGTTTCTATTGCTGTGGCATAACACCATGATCAAGAAGCAAGTTGGAGAGGAAAGGGGGAGGAAGGGACACTTCCAGGTCATGGTCCATCACTGGAGGAAGTCAGGACAGGAACTGAAGCTGGGTGGGAACCTGGAGGCAGGAGCTGATGAAGAGGCCATGGAGAGATTTTGCTTACTGGCTTGCTCCTTTCTTTGCTCAGCCTGCTTTCTTACAGAACCCAGGTCTACCAGCCCAGAGATGGCACCATGGGCTGGGCGCTCTCCCACTGATCACCAACTGAGAAAATGTCTAAGAGCCGAATCTCAGGAAGGCATTTCCTAAGCCGAGGCTCCTTCATCTCTGATGACTCTAGCTTGTGTCATGTTAACATACAAAACCATTCAGCACAGTCCGAATTGTTTAAGGGTAAATGTTACTGTGTTTTAGTGCCCAGCTGCAACTAGGTCTTAAACCAGCTGTTATTTATTCCTCGGTGACACTAAACAAATTGTTGAACCTCACTGAGCCTCCAATTCTGCAACAGCAAGGCAGGCACAGGGGCACCCAGCTCCGTCAGGACTGATACTAGCACATGCATCCAAATGCACCAGTGGCTGGATGCTGGCAGCAGTGGTGTGTCCTCTGCTGGGAGCAGAGTGGGGAGTTGGGGTGGGGAGTGGAATCCATAGCATCCTTCAGGAGACTTTGGGTCCAAGCACCTGTAACCAAAATGCAAGTTTTCCAGAGTGCACTGTCCATCCATCTGAGGGGCATCTGGCCCTTTAGTTGACTGGCCCTTTTTCCTGCCACTATGAAGATGTCATACCAGTTCCTTTCGACATGGGGAAGTAGGTCGACCATATGTCTGCATTTTCCAAACAAGCCAGCCTCTGTATCCATCTAACACATTAGACTCCTCCCCCAGGCAGCCTCAGTCTAGGGTGGTCTGAAGCCTCAGCTTGTTTTCCTGCTGTCGTTCTGTAGCTGATGGTGAAAAACCTTCAGTTTGAGGACGGGAAGATGATTCCTGCCTCCCAGTACTTTTCCTCGGGGGAGACATCAATGGTAGAACTTACGGAGGAGGAGCTGAAGGTAGCAGAGACCATTAAGGTGAGCATGTGATGTACCTCGGAAACTGACTCGTTCCTCGGAAACACAGTGCCTGTTTGTGACTGGTTTAATTGTCCCTAGAGCAGTGGGAGTGTGACTTTATCTCCTCCTTCTGTACAAGTTGTAGTTAAGAAACACAGTATATAGACATTTATTTTTCTGTTCTAAGTCGTCTTGGAGGGTTTGGGTGAGCTTGGTGATAAGTTATTCTCTGCTGGTGAAATGAGCCAATTCAAGCCTGAGTATATGAAGGCAGGTTGATTGGAAGCAGCTCTCAGACCACACAGGATGGGTTCAGTGAAGTCACCCTGGGGAAGGGAGACAGAGAGGAGAGGGAAGAGAAAGAAAGTGCAAGGGGTTGGGTGACAGAGAAAGAAGTTGTGTGGGGGAGACTCAAATGTCTGGATTACATAGGGAAGAGCTTCTGGGGGAGGAGAAGCCTAGCCCCTGGTTTGGAAAGTTCAGGGACAGATGGCGGGTATGCCAGCCATGCCCTGCCCTATAACAGGTAGGGACTGAGGGATGCTGGGAGAATCCAGAGGCCAGGTCGCTTTGGTATGCTAAATGTTTGTCCAGGGTCTGAACCCCTGTTGGCACATGGGGGATAAAGAGAACCATTTAGAAACCCAGATTGAAGATCATTTTTAGTCTAGCCAGGACACAAACTCACACATAAATGTATGTCGTTTTCCATGGGCCCAAACTGGTGGGGGCGGAGCGCTCAGGTCACGCCCTTTCATGCACTGGTCACACTGAAGAGATGCTGAGCCGTCCTGCTATGTTGTGCTTCCGGTGAAGGGCAGAGAGGTCTTTGCCCTGGGATTCCCCATGTTCTTTCTTCAGGAAAGTGGTCCTTTTTGTGCAGGTCATCTGGGCTCGAATTTTAAGCAACGTTGCTATGATCGAGGACTCCACAGACTTCTTTAAATCTGGAGCGAGCTCAATGGATGTTGTGAGGTAAAGCTGCCACCTCCGAACTCCCCTCTTCTGCCCAGCTTGTCTACCACAGATCCCTTTTCTTCATGCTTGTTGCTTTTGTTTCATGGCCACGCTCACAGATCTTTTTATTCATTTGTCACCAACCAGGTTGTTTTGCATCTCCTTTAATGTTTCTAATTGTTATTTTCAAAAGATTTCTTTTTATTTTATTTGTGCATGTCTGTGTCAGTGAATGCCATGTGTGTGCTGTCATCCTGCATGTGCAGGTCCAGAAGGCGGCACTAGATGCCCTGATGCTGGAGTTACAGGCTGTTATGAACTGCCCACATGGGTGCTGGGAACTGAATCCAGGTCCTCTGCAAGAGTAGTATGTGTTCTTAACCAGCAAGCCACTCTCCAGCCCCAGGACACTAATTCTTTTTCTACCTCACCTGCCCATGTCCCAAAATGACCATTTCCCATTCTCTCCACTCTGCTTATACCTCCCTGTTATTCTGAGGTCACCAAATATATGAACTTCAAAACTCTATGACATCATCAAAAGTCAGGAGGTTTAGGCCTGTACACTGTAGTTTTTTTTTTTTTTGCAATAATTCACGAGTTCCTAGAAAATTCTGGTTGGCTTAATAAGGATTTCAATACTGCACTGATATTTTACCAGCAGGAATCACTCATTTCCTGTTAGAGTAAGTTACATTAACCTGTTGTTACTTTCTTTATATAAAAAAGTATGTAAAAACAGCAAAACTGTCTGCAAGACAGGTTTTTAATTTTCTCACACCACATCATATTTTCAATTTATTTTTATTTTGCGTGTGTGTGTGTGTGTGTGTGTGTGTGTGTGTGTTTGTGCGAGTGCTTGGCTTATGTGGATCACATGACTGCAGTACCCACATAGGCCAGAAGGGGGGTGTCAGATCACCCTGAAACTGGAGTTTCAGGCAGTTGAGAGCTACCATATGTGGGTGATGGGAACTGAACCCAGGTCCCCCGTGAGAACAGAAAGTGCCACCTGTCCAGTCTCTGTCCGGAATCTTAACATCTTCTGTAGCTGTCACCTATGATGATATTGTACAACATGAACAGCAGTCACTCCCAAACCTCTTCACCAGTGCCAGTGAACAGGCAGTGATGAAACTGTAAACATGGTGGTGATGTGAGCTGGTTCTCACTTTAAGGCTGGTGGAAGAGGTCAGACAGAAGTGTGGTGGGCTTCAGCTGCAGAATGAAGATGTCTACATGGCCACCAAGTTTGGAGATTTCATCCAAAAGGTCGTGCGGAGGCTGAGAGGAGAGGACCAGGAGGCAGAGCCGGTGGTGGACTATGTAAGTGTCTTATTGACGTGCAACTCCAAACTCTTACCACCATTACAGAGGGCATATGTATTTGCCATTTACACGTATAGCCTTTAAGACTAGCTTTAGTGCTGGGTGGTACAGATGCATACCTTTAATCCCAGCACTGCAGAGGCAAAAGCAGAGGCAGAGAGAGGTGGAGGCGGAGGCAGAGGCAGGCAGATTTCTGTGAGTTCGAGGCCAGCCTGATCTACCTAGTGAGTTCTAGGACAGCCAGGGCTACATAGAGAAACCTTGTCTCAGGGGAAAAAAAAAGACTAGTTTTATTGAGATATAATTCAGGTGCCATAAAATTCACCCTCATTATAGCAAATCCAGATAGAATTGATATGAAATATTATGGCCTGAATTTAGAGATATATAGCAGAGCTGCATAGCAGTGAGGTTTCTTTACTACTGGTATTAAACTAGCATTAAGTTAAAATTGCCATTCAATGGTTTTTAGAGCATTCACAAACTGTGCAATCATTAATTAATGAATAATCAACTAATTAATCATTTAGAAAAATTTTATTACCCCAAAAGGGGAGACTGTATCCATTGGCGATCACACTGCACTGCTTTTCTCCTCCTCTGCTCCATACCCAGGCTCTCAGAAACCACCCGTCTCTTTTCTGTGTTGGTGGATTTGCCATAATGTAGGCATTTCATATAAATAGGACCATGCACCATATGGCTCCTTACAGCAGTTTTCACCACTTCTACTCTTTCTGGCCAAGTAATATTCCATCGTGTCTGTTATACTTCCTCTTTTTAATCCAGGTTGACCAAGATAGCTCTGTCAGTCAACCGGGTGTCTAGGGAGTGAGTGAGGATTGAAAAGAAAAAGACAATTAGACAACACTATAACACGACTCCAGCCAGTGCTGAGGCTGAAGTGGTTTTATTTTTCTCCTGTCTGCTTTTTTTTTTTTTTTTTTTTTGGTTTTTCGAGACAGGGTTTCTCTGTGTAGTCCTGGCTGTCCTGGAACTCAGTTTGTAGATCAGGCTGGCCTTGAACTCAGAAATCTGCCTGCCTCTGCCTCCCAAGTGCTGGGATTAAAGGCGTGCACCACCACTGCCCAGCTCTCCTGTTTGCTTTTATACCATTCTAAATACATGCAAAGAATAAAGTCACTTCTAGGTCAAGGAACAACAACAACACAATAAACAAAAATAGTCAAGGAACAAACAAGAGAAAAAACAAAGTTCCATGGTATTCAGGGCTTATCAAGATGATCAAGATCTTGAGCCTACTTCCTTGTATTGGCCCAATGTCAAATATCTAGAAGCAGCCCCAAGAGCTCTCCACACTGGGTGATGTGTGCTTTGGGACCATTTCACCCAGGAGGCTGTTGTTATACTGATAAAAACTTCAGGTATACATTTTTGACATGAACATATATTTTCAGGTCCTTGCTAAGGGTGGCATAGATGACTCATTGTAGCTCTTACAGTTAACCGTTTGAAGGATTGCCAAAGGCAGCCACTTCACTTTGGAATCCCACCCCCAATGTAATGGAGAGTTCTAACCTTCCCCAGCCCCCTTCTCAAGCTCTCTCACTTGCCTCTCTCTTTAGCTGTCTTAGCGGGTATGTGTGAAAGTACCACAGTATGTTTTCAATTTTGCATCCGCTGATGGACAGTGATGTTAGGCGTATTTTTGAGTGTTTATTCAAATCCTTTGCCCATTTCCAAAATTGTTTATCTTTTTATTGTAAAGTCAAAGTACTCCATCTATTCTGGACACTCAATCTTTATCAGATATGGATTTGTAAATATACATACATACATACATACATACAGCCATATTTTATGTATGTGAGTAGACTGTAGCTCTCTTCAGACACACCAGAAGAGGTCATTGACCCCATACAGATGATTGTGAGCCACCATGTGGGTGCTGGGAATTGAACTCAGGACCTCTGGAAGAGCAGTCAGTGCTCTTAACTGCTGAGCCATCTCTCCAGCCTCCTGTGAATATTTTTTGACCTGTGGTTTGCTTTATTCTTTCACTTTCTTTGTAACATTCTTTGACACATAACAGATTCCCCCTCCCCGAGAGATAGGGTCTCACTATGTAGCTCTGGATGTCCTAGAGCTTTCTATGTAGATCAGGCTGGCCTCAGACTCACAGAGCTCCACCTGCCTCTGCCCCCTGAGTGCTGGGATTAACGGTGTGCCCGCTATGGCTCAGCTCAGAATTCTATCTTTAGGAATCGCTGTCACCACACTTTCTCTGTCTCTCATCTGGTGCCTCTGTTCCTCCTTGGTCTTCTTTGATGTAGGATTGCCTATGGTGCCTTCACCATCCTGCATTGCTTCTTTTACTACATCTTTAATCATTTTCCTACAATAAGCGTTTTTGCTTAAAACAATCTAGTTCAGGTTAATACCAACTTAATATCAACAGTATAGGAAAACCTCACTACTATAGTCTTATATACCTTTAAATTTTGGCTATAATATTTTGTATTAATTCTATATGGATTTGCTAGAAACCCACAACAGATTTTTAATTATTGACTTATACAGCTGTCTTTGTTTTCTTGTTTTGGTTTTTAATTTTTTATTATGTGTATGCATGTGACCTGTGAGGTTTTGTGTGTGTGTGTACATGGATGCAAGTGCCCATGGAGGCCACAAGAGGGCGGCAGATCCCCTGGAGCTAGAGTTAGAGGCATCTGTGAGCTGCCTCACGCTGGTTCTGGGGACTGTACCCCAGTCCTCTACAGGAGTAGCAGGGGCTCTTAACTACTGCACTATCTCCTCAGAGACAGATAGCAGCTGCCTTTTAAAACCAGGTAGAAAGAGCGTTAAAACAACAAAAATGTTTTTATACAGATTTCTCTATTTACCTACATAGTCGCCTTGAGAAATCCATTTAAAGTGAATTCAAAATCTCCCTGTGTATGTGTCTGTGCGTGTCTGTGTGCATGTGTATATCTGTGTATGTGCATGTCTCTGTGTCTGTGTATCTGTATGCATGTGTCTGTGTATGTGCACATGTGTGTTTCTGTGTGTGTCTGCATGTTTGTATGCATGTGTTTGTGATGCATGCGTGTATCTGTGCACACCTGTGTGCATGTGTCTGTGTGTATCTATATGCATGTGTCTGTGTGTGTGCACATGTATGTCTCTGTGTGTGTCTGTACTTGTGTAGTATGCATGCGCACATGTATCTGTGTGCGCACATCTGTGTGCATGTGCCTGTGTGTGCTGCATGCACATGCATGTGCGTGTGTGTACACAACAGTAGAATTGGGAAGAGGGTATTGGTGCCCTCCTCTATCATCTGCTGCTTATTCCTTGGAGGTAGGGTCTCTCCCTGAGCTGGGGCTTCCGCTGGGGCTCACATTTTCTTGGCTCTTCTGGAAGCCACAAACCCCAGTCATCCTCTCTCCACACCCCTCAGAGCTGGGTTACAGGTGTGCATGGTTAGTTACATGGGTGCTAGGATCTGAACTCAGGTCCTGAGCATTGTTCAGCAAGTGCTCTTGACCCCGAGCTGCCTTTACAACCTCTTCTTCATGTGGATCCATGTTGCTGATTGCTGTCCTTTAATTCCAGCCCAAAGGTTCCCTGGGATATCACTGACTGTGTCTGCTCATTTGGGAATGCTTTCACTTCCTCCTTTCAGAAGGATGTGTTTGCAGTAGGAGGCAGATACCATTCTCCCCGGTTAATTGATGAAAACCCTGAGCTTGATGGAAGCAAGTATAGTAGCCTCAATGTCTCTTGTTACCCAGCAGTAGAGAGAACAATTAGGCAGCTCAGGTGTAACAGAAAGAACATAAGGGAGAAATCTTGAGATAGCCCCAGCATAAAGGAAATACCAGGGTAAAGAATTTCCCAAGGATCCAAGTGGCACAATGGTGGTGCTGTCAAGTCTGCCAATAGATGGCGCTGTCCACAGGTGTCTGAGGCACCTTTGTGTATAAAGACCATCTGAGCCAGAGCCTCAGATCTCAGTGTCCCCTGAGCATCATGAGAGCACATCTGTCCTTGTGACAGAAGATGTCACTAGAGTCCCACTGAGCTGACCTCTTTCCACATTAGTGAATATCTCTCTTTTCTTTCTCTTTCTTTCCTTTCCTTTCCTTTCTTTTTAAAAATTATTTTAAGATTCTTAATTTTTCTTTCTAAATCTGTTTGAGTTTATGTGTATGAGTGTTTGCCTTGGATACATGCCACCCTCAGAGGTACCTGGTAGAGGGCATCAGATGCCCTGAAACTTGAGCCGCTGTGTGGGTGCTGAGAACCAAGCTTGGGTCCTCTGCAGGACAAGTCCTCTTAACCACTGTGCCATCTCTCCAGCCCCGTGAATGTTTCTTTATCGCCACTTGCTATCAGGTTGATAGTCACAGAAACACACTGACTTTTCTCAGGTTTCCAAGGAGGTGAACGAGATGACAGTGAAAATCCCCTACCAGTGTTTCATAAATGGAGAGTTTGTGGATGCCGAGGATGGAGAGACTTACGACACCATCAACCCCACAGACGGAACTGTGAGTAACGACAGCCGAAGCGAGCTCGATTCTATCTCTCGGCCCCTAAGCTCCTTGTTCAAATACATGTCTTACAAGTCTCTTACGCATTCAGCTCTGACACTAGCTATTGTGTATTATAGTAACTTTGTTTTCAGTAGACTAAGTGTTATGATGAACTCGTGATTCCTGTGCCCATGCCCTGCAGATGTCTCTGTACAGAGCTCCATGGGGAAGGGATACTTCAGACTCACGGCAAGCTTCCCTGTAGAAGAATTGTCCTAAATGTGTTTTTCAGAATGAGATGACATGTACAATGGACAAAGATTAGCTTCTGTTTCCACAAAGTATCACCTTTTTGTCCCCCGTTTTTTCCCTCAAGATGTATTAGTTTTCTGTCACAGAATTTCTCCATTTGATGAGTCATATTCTACTTTTACAATTAATACAGTATTAATCCTGAGAGCCACATGGATAGATCCCTCGGGTGACCTATGTCTGCTTGTCTTGAAACAGACAATATGCAGAGTGTCCTACGCTTCTTTAGCGGATGTTGACAGGGCAGTAGCCGCAGCCAAGGATGCCTTTGAGAACGGCGAGTGGGGAAGGATGAATGCCAGAGACAGAGGAAGACTCATGTACAGGTGTGCTTGCTGGAGAAACAGCTATGTTGTCTTTGGAAATTGGTTAATATTGCTGAGACTTTAAAATTCCTATAAAACATTCTATCTTGAATGCACCCATGGAAGACAGACATGTCTTTCATTATTTGAGTCACATAAAATCCCACACACAAGGTCCTGATGTCTGGATACTGCTTGTATCAGTCAGAGGTCATTGAAGACTACGTAAGATTTGGGGAAGAGCATGGGACTCCCACAATGACTAAGGACCCAGGCAGGGCTGGTGGCAGAGGAAGCGGGTACTGCTCCCAGGTCTGAGGGATCAGAGGCAAGCTGTGGTGAGCACTCTAGAGTCCTTTGTACATGCAGCAAGAACACTCTACAGTGGCTTTGGAAGGAGAGGAACCATGGTGACCCGGGGGATTTAAACCATTGACCATGTCCTTTATACTCTTCACAAGTGTCCTGACGTGCCCCTCAGTCACCAGGTGATAAGGGCTCTAAAGGTCATCTTCCACAGTCACAGACCACCAGAGTAGAGGTTGGACAGAGAGGTTCATATGGGAGGCAGCCCACTACTGTTTTCAAAGACAAAAAAAAAAAAGGAAGTGGGGGAATGCTAAGGTTCTGGAAGAATATTACAAATGAGTTAAGTGTTCCAGAAATAATTAGTTTCAACAATTCATTCTGGTTTCTGCATACCTACAGCTCAACATTTCACCTGAATTGACAGATTCCTTAGAGTGAGATCTACAAGAAGCATGGGGGGGATGGGTGTCATATCCCAAATGGACCACTCTAGGAAGAGAGGAAGGGAAGCAAGGAGGAGAAGGGAGAGAGGGAGGGAGCATAAGAGAGATGTTTTTACTATTTACACCGTCCCACAGACCCCGTTCGCCTTCCTAAGGAACCTGGGCACCTGGGTGGCTCTGCTGTGGACTTAGTGATTAATTCCACACGCCGGATCTGTCCTCTGCAGTCAGTATTGAAAACATTTCTGTACCAATCAGAAAGCCACACGTGTTCACAGGTGGTGCGGCTCTCATTCTGACACCTCCCTGTGTATTAATGAACTACTCCATTGTGCAGGTTCCTTTTACCCACCACCTCCTGCCTGTGCCCACTGCGGCTCAGTTGCTTGTGCATGTAGGAGGCAAATGGCACATGCTGGGGACATAGTTGGCTTCTCCCTGTAACTGTAAGGCTGGCTGGTTGTAGCTCAGTGGTAGAGCACTCAGCTAGCATGTGTGAGGTCCTGGGTTCAAGCCAAAACACTGCAGAAACTGTAGTAACAACTTCTTGAAATAAACTATTTATACAATGATTTACTTACTACCTACCTTCCTAGACCATGATCTCCACAGGGATCATGGTGCCCCTCTGGACTAGTCTCTGGATTCTTAGTCCTGGGATGTTACCCTATCCAGCGCTGGCATATCCAGCTGGTCTGGGCTCCATCAGTATGTGCTAACTGGGTTTATTTCACTGACCACACAGACTTGCTGATCTAATGGAAGAAAACCAGGAGGAGCTGGCAACCATAGAAACACTGGATTCTGGGGCTGTCTACACCCTGGCCCTGAAGACTCATATTGGAATGTCTGTGCAGACATTCAGATACTTCGCAGGCTGGTGTGACAAAATTCAGGTAAGCAAGGAAGCTCCTCATTCCTACAGGAAAACGGCCTCAAGCTCCCAAGTTTGCAGCAGGGTTGGCCTCATTTCTGAGATGGTAGCTTAGTCTCCTGTCCCTGGGAGAGGAGCAATGCTAGATCCCCACATTGAGGAAAAGCAGGCCACCTGCTGTGGGCCTCCTTTCAACAGTGTTCTTTTGTGTGAAACAGCAACTCTGGAAATAATTTTTCACTTTATTTTTGAGACAAGGTCTCTCTTGTTTTCTTACCACAGTGTATGCTAGACTACCTGGCCCAAAAGCTTCGAGGTGATTCCTTGATCTCTGCCTATCATTTCTGGAGTGCTAGGATTACAGATGTACACTACCACATCTGGCTTTTGTGTGACTTCCAGGGATCCAATTCAGGTTGCCAGTCAGGATTGTATGAAAGTGCTTTTACAAACCCTGAGCCATCTCCCTGGGCCCCATGAGCCTTTTTTATAGCAGTGTGAGCCCATTCTCAAGGGAGGAGCCTCATGGCTCATATGTTTTGCATTAGACCTGCTCAACAGTGGAGGCTAAGTCTCCAGTACATGAATTACAAGAGTGTATGTGAGTATCTCTGTCTATGTAAGTCTCTCTCCCTCTCCCTCTCCCTCCCTCTCTCTCTCTCTCTCTGTCTCTGTGTGTGTCTGTGTGTGTGTGTGTGTGTATCTGTGTGAGTATCTCTGTGTGTGTGTGTGTGTGTGTGTGTTTGATGGATGTTGAGTGTCTCTTCCTCAACTTCTCTCCACCTTTGTTTTTTGAGACAGGGTCTCTCACTGAACCTGGAGCTTATGGATTTGGTTAGACTCTCTGGCCAGAGAGCTCCAGGAATCTGCTTGTCCTGTCTTTCCAGTGCTGGGATTATAGACATCTGCCATCCCACCCAGCTTTATGTGTGGGTGCTGGGGATCTGAACTCAGGTCTCCAAGCCTGCACAGAAGCACTTTATTTCTCCCCAGCCCTAAAGAAGCAGCTCTTCATTCTAGTGCAGGGATTTATTTCTTATACATTGAACACTTCCTTTTCATATTAGCTGAGACAAAAGGAGAGGGCAAAGAAGCATATTCTCTGAGATTAAACTTAGTATTTCAATTAGTGAAATATCAGTCATTACTAGTGTTCTGTGTTATGTGGTCGATCAAAGAAAGAATGTCACTCCAGAATGCAATGAGGCTCTGCGGCAGCAGGGAGATCCAGCCTTGATAAGCAACCTCAAACAGCCATGCAAAAGCATATTTATTGGTTGTCTATTTACTGACTGAAGATACAATGAAGAACAGCTATTTCATTCTATTGTCTACCCTAGATGCAAGGATTCTACTAGAATTCCACTACAAACTTTCTTTCCTTTAGGGCTCTACAATTCCAATCAACCAAGCCCGACCAAATTACAACCTGACCTTTACCAAGAAGGAGCCACTTGGGTAGGATGGGTGTGAGTGGAGATGGGGGTGGGGGTGGAGAGCCTCTGAATGACCTGGATGTTGTGTCACTGTGAGGAAACCAAGGTCACCTACCTTCTCCCCACAGCGCCTGCGCCATTATCATCCCCTGGAACTACCCACTGATGATGCTGGCCTGGAAGAGTGCAGCATGCCTGGCAGCAGGCAACAGTCTGGTGCTCAAGCCTGCGCAGGTGAGTGTGGCCAGAGGGTGGAAAACTTGCCTGCAAACTTAAAGCATACACATGTTTATAAACAGCATCCCTTCAGGCTTGCCACAGTGCACACACAACTCTTCATACATTATTGGTCAGTTCTGATCTATGCAGGGGAGAAGCATGTGTATGCATCACAGATCAGAGGACCACCCCCAGGAGCTGTGGGATCTGGGAACCAAACTCGGGTCCTTGGGTTTGGTGCCAAGAGCTTTGTATGATGAGCCACCTTGCTGGCCCCAGTCACTTTACATTCCCCAAAATCTTGTAAAGATATGGAAGATAAGAGAAAAGCACATAAAATAACTTAGTAGTTATGACAACCGTGTAAGCTCCAGGGGTGTACAATCTTTGATGCTGTGACTGTAACACTGCCATCCTCAAATGTGTTGGGCCACATGCACAGATATCCATGGAGCCTGGAGGGCTGCAGGTTGAACATGCCTGAGAGCATGTGTACACGTGTGTGTGAGGGAGGGGGTTAAAAACACACTGGGCAGTTTCCAGAGTCATCTATTAATGCTAGAGTACTTTCTGTTTAAGACAGCATCTCCCGTGGCCCAGGCTGACCTTGAACTTGCCATGCAGCCAAAGTTGACCAGAAACATCTGATCCTCTTGCCGCCACTGTCCAAGTACAATGATTACAGGCAGATGCCACGGCCAGCTCCAGGAGGGTTTTAAAGTGTTATTCTATTCATGGTGGCTTCATTGCAGGGCATAAATAACACACTCTGTGGAGCAGTCCCCTCTCCAACTGTGACAGACTAAACACACTGAGCCAGTAGGCTTCTTGCTTTTCCAGTGTCTGGGGCCAGCTTCTCATCCAAGCTCTCCACACTGCCATTGTCTAGGCCTCATGGTGAAGCTCATGAGTCTGTCACTAGAGGGAGAGGAGGAGCTCTTTTCTGTGTGTGCTGCAGTCCGTTGTGCAGGTTCTTTGTCCAGTCTTTCAGCTGCTTGTCCGTTTTATGAAGGTTGCTTGAGTTAATACTATAATCGGTGATTCTACACAGCCAGCCCTGTCCACTGCACACATGGTAGCTTCCGGAGCAGATGAGCAACCAGAGAGGGAACCACTGTGATCTCGCTGCACCTCCCGCCCACTTGCTCCCCGTGGCCCCAGGAGCACGTGCTCCTCCATAGGACATGTTGGCCTCTGTGACTCTCAGCCCCTTGATCTTCATGCACACCAAAGTGGGAATCACGGGTGCTTCACTGTGGATCTGTCAGTTGCAAGAGGAGCTCAGATATTTGTTTTCCATTCTTCACTGGATCTTCCTGCATATTTTGCTGTTAGAGATCAAATTAAAAAACACTAAGATAATCAGTGTCAGTGTGGGGAAAGATGAGCAGGTAGAGAGGGGCTAAAGAAATGCAGTAAAGACTTTAGTATCTGAGAGACCATGGTGAACTATGTACATGGAACTCTTTGGACTGTGTTGGTAACTCTGCTTTGAGTCTGACATTGTCTTAAAATTTCAAAAAACAAACAAGGGAGCAATGTAAGATACAAACAAAATGAAGTGTCAGGGGCTGAGGGAAATGGTTCATTAGATCTCAAAGCCCATGTAAAGAGCCAGGCATAGATGCATGCGCCTATAACTCCAACACTGGTGGTGGGGGTGGGGAGGTGTGACGAGGAGATTCTAAGAGCTGGCTGGTCAACCAGGTTAGCCAAAACAGCAGCTACTGATTCAGTTAGAGACCTTGTCTCAAGGCCATATGGTGGATGGCAACCACAACACCCACAATACCCACACTCATGTGCATGCACCTCAAATATGCACTGTACCCACAAAGAAGCAGGGCCCTGGTAAGGATGCGATTACTGTGTTCATTTCCAGGTCACACCCTTGACGGCTCTGAAGTTTGCAGAGTTGACCATGAAAGCTGGATTTCCAAAGGGGGTAATCAACATCATTCCGGGCTCAGGTAAGCCTGAGGGACAGACTCTGTTCTAACTGCTGAGTGGCTCAAGGGGCTAAGTGCTGTCTCCCACTGCAGTCTTAACCTAAAATGAACCACACTAAATACAGTTCACCAAGCAAAAATATACTTAGTGTGTAATAAAATATAAAGATTGGAAATCTAGTGTGTGGGGAAGTAGAAGGGGGGTTGCATAGCATTGTAAAACTGCCCTAAAGGTAGGCCATTTTGTTTTCAATAAGCACTTTGGATGATAACAAGACCTATCCATCAATAAGGGGGAGGTGCTAATGATAGCTGTATTGAGAATATTGTTTTAATCCATTTGTAATCAATACAGAAAATGTAAAGTGCAGGTTCAAATGCAAGTTTAGAAACCCAGCTCAGCAAACACAAACCCACCCTCCCCAAAAGATCATGTTTTGCTGTCCCCTAACTAATTCTACAGGGGGTGTGGCAGGACAGCGGCTCTCTCAGCACCCGGACATCCGCAAGCTTGGCTTTACCGGCTCCACATCTGTGGGCAAACAGATCATGAAAAGGTACTGGCTTGCTGTAGGGAGTCTATTCAACCTGGCCACTCCTTGGAATTCAACAGAGTGTTGTAGAACTCGGCAACGCAATGCTGGGAATATGGCTCACTTGGTAGAGTGCTTGCCTAGTACGCACAAAGCCCTGTTTGATTCTGAAAGCTGCAGATAGCAGACGTGGTCATCCACCCTGTAATCTCTGCAGTCTGGAGATGGAAGGTCAGAAGTTAAGGCCATTTCAACAAAACAGGTTGGAAGGCTACCTGGACTACATGAGACCCTGTCTCAAACATACAGGCATACACACAAGCATACATGTATACACACACACATATATATATATACATACATGCATACACGTACACGCATACACATGCATATACACATATAGATGCATAAACACACATACCCACACACATGTACACAAACACACACATGAAAGCACACATGCATACACATGAATATACACACACACATATATATGCACATACACAGAAGCATACATGCATACACACAAATACACACACATACCAATACACACATACATGCACACACACACACACACACACACAGCCCAAAACAAAACAAACAAGAGATACCACCACCAACAGAACTAGAGAAAACCACATCAAATGGCTGTCACTGATGACTATGGAGATACATAAACAGTAGACAGAGCTTTCTAACGCCCATAGTGAACTCAGGGCCACTGGCTGGAGACCAAGCTCTGTGGTTGGGTGCTTGCCTGACAAATCCAAACACACACAACCAGCATGAAGGTAAAAGATGTGGTAGGTTAGACCCAAAACAATAGCATTTTATCAAAGTGATAAAACCAATGGCCACCAAGAATTGGGGATTTTGTGGGCCAGTTTTTCTTCTTTCTTCCATTCTATCCTTTCTAAAGGCAGAGTGCTTCTGAAGGCTGGGACCAGCTTTCTCATGGTTTGTCACAATCACCACTCAAACTGCAAAACACAACCTAATGAAAGGTGTAAATAACCAATAAATAGCTAAAATCTACTTCCCACCCACAGGTATAGCAGGCTGGCTCTTGCTTTGCAGACCTTCATATAACTCAATTCCTTTCTTTTAAATTTAGTTATGTACTCCCCCCGCCCTCCTCCCATGAATGTATGTGTCTGCATATACACCTGTATGCCAGGAGAGAGCATCAAGTCCCTTTATAGGTGGTCGTGAGCCACCATGTGGTTGCTGGGAATTGAACTCAGGACCTCTGGCAGAGCAGCCAGTGCTCTTAACCGCTGAGCCGTCTCTCCGGCCTGACATAACTGGATCCTTGAAGGTGAATTTCCCTCTGAGAATCCTCATCCTTTGACCACAGAAAGTTTTTGAATATTACAGGAAACTTCTAGAATAAACAAAAGGAGACAAAAGCATATGAACATCGTCATACTTACCGCCCAGCCTTAGCAGTGAGCCGTCTCCTTTCCTGTCTCTTCCTCTGCCCTACCCCTGCCCTCTTTGAGACATGGTTTCTCCATTCTCCTGCCTCTACTTTCTGAATGCTGGAATTACATGCACTGCCACGCCCTCATAAATGTGGGTCCTAACATTTCTGAGGCTCAGTTGAGTTTCGCATGCTGAGTAGTAACTTATGGTTAGGGGAGAAAATGGTGGTGAGGGGAAAGGGAGTGGGAGAGGGGTTAGGGAGGTGGGGGAAGGAATAGTGGTGAGGGGAGGGGGTGGGTAAAAGGTAAAGGTGGGTGGGGAGAGGTGGAAGATGAGATGGAGAGGGGGAGAGTAGGGGGAGGGGATAGCAGTGAGGGGGTAGGGGAAGGGTAGGGAAGGGGTAGAGGAAAAGGAGGGGATAGTGGGAAGGAAGAAGAGGGTGGAGAAGGGGGTGGGGAGGGGTAGTGGTGTAGGGGGAGAGGGCAGGGAAGAGGAATAGAGTGGGGAGGGGGTAGTGGTGAGAGTGAAGGGGGTGGAGAAAGGGGAGGGAGAGGGAGGGAACCCCCTAACCCCTCTTTCCTATTTGTTTTCCTCTAGTTGTGCTGTGAGCAACCTGAAGAAAGTTTCCCTTGAGCTTGGTGGCAAATCTCCACTGATAATCTTCAGTGACTGTGACCTTGGCAAGGCTGTACGGATGGTGAGTGGGCCAAAACCAGGCTGTAGGTGCCGACTTCTAAACCACATCTCATGGCCTTTACAGGAGGG